AAAAAAAAAAAAAAAAAAAAAAAAATAAATAAATAAATAAATAAATAAATATGTAAGAAACATGGAAATATGGTCAGGTTTTATTTTGGTTTGTTTCTGGTTTGGGTTTTTTGAGACAGGGTCTTTCTACACAGCCCTTGATGCCCTGAAACTCACTACATAAACCTGGATGGCCTCAAATTCATAGAGATCTGCCTGCCTCTGCCTCAACACCCAGGTACGGTTAGCTTTTATTTGGGCACTTAAAAGGTTTAATATCATATCCATCAGAATGCTGTTCTTTAAGACAGAATTATAAGATGTAAATCTAGGTCACTGTTTTTTTATTTACACATCTGTACATTTTAGATTTGTTTGTTTAATAAAGGGATGTGTACTAGACTATACTATTTTATATACATTTGTGTATCTTTTTCATTTATGAGCCTTAGTCTTCAACGGCTGAGCCACCTCTTCAGCTTTAATTTTACATAGATCTTCTAATTTTAGTCTTCTGGACATAAATAAAGTATATATTTCATTATCCTCATTTTTATTAATTTCTTAGCTAGCATACAAAATAATGGGCTCAACTATGATGTGTGTATATATATATACATACATATACATATATAGGTAGCTAATAAAATATATATATATATATATATATAGCCTTTATTTACCCTCTCACTGTCCTCCCCTGTAATTTCTTCCATCCACTCCTTGCTGCCCTCTTTTCTCTCACCAAACAGTTCTCCTGCTTTCATGTCATATATATACAAGGACCTTCTTTTGCTCTCTTTTCCCCATCCCTTTACATCTTTCATTCCTTCTCATCAGCCCCTTTCGACTTTCACACTACGTATAATTTTCTCCACATGTGCCAGAGAACACATGATGTTTGTTGTTCTGAGTTTGTATTATTTTGCTTAATATAATGATCTCTATTTCAATATATTTTTTCTGCAAATGTCATTTCATTCTTCTTTACATCTGATTAAAATGTCATTATTTGTATTATATTTCTTGATCCATTCACCTGTAGCCCAGACTCAGAAAGAAAAAAAAACACTGTGTTTTCTCTCATATGTAGATATTAGCTTTGAATCTTTAGATATATGTGTTTCATCTGGAATAACCATAGAGATTAGGAAACAAGTAAGGGGTCATGGGGGAAAGAGAATCTTTCTAAGGAAGAAACATAGAATACAGTGATATAAAGGAGGCAGAAGGAATAATGGATCACGAAGGATTAAATGAGGCAGGGGATGTGAGGACAAGGTAGAGGGGAAGCATGGAGAAGGACAATGAACAGTAAAAGCCTTTTGAAAAAGTCATGTAAAACTCTGCTACTGTAGAAGCTTTCTAAGATATATGCGTACATACATAAAAGGAGTTTAAATGGAGTTATTCTACAACAAGGGGACAATATCCCAACTAGACACCACGTGTTAAACCCAGGAATGGGTTCTCTTTCTGAATTATTGGCCAATGAATTGCCACTAGAAGCTACAGCCAGCTTCTGCATCCCACAGCTTTACTCATCAGATTTTTACATGTACCCAATAACTAGGCTGCTAGTGTTTCTAAGATCTTCTTACTGGGTTAAACTGCTTTCTAGTAATAGAATATAACTATATTCTCTTTTGGATAAAAATCACAGCTTGTAGTCCCAGAGACCCCCAAACATTACAGGCTATTGTCAATGCTCTTGGTTACCTTCTAGAATTTGATGGTAAGACCCTATTACTGAAAACACTGTATACCCGAGTCATAGAATATGGAAAAATCAAGGTGGTACTGGCCTAGAACGTTCATCCTTTTCAGCTAACTAGCTTAGCTCTGGAATAATGAAAGCAAAAATTAGCCATTCTTGTTATCAAAAGTTAAAAGTAATTATCAGTCTCATCCAGCTGTGACCCTTGCAAGCAACAATACTGACTGGCTTGACAAGATATGTCCACTGGTGCGAGAGTGGCATAAATGTTGTAGGAATAACCGACCACTTTCTAATTGGACCTAAGGTATACCCCATGAGAGGGAATCAATACCTGGCACTGATAATAGGGCCAATAACCTATAACTAGATAGGTCATAGGTCCTAGGAGGTAATCTAATGGTATTAAATTGACTCCTAATGACTTACTGCTATGCTCATAGATCAGTATATCTCTAACCCTCTTCAGAGAAGCTTTTTCTTTCAGGAGATGGCAATTAACACAGATACCCTCAACTGGTTGATGAGCAGAGAATAAGAAACTGTGGAATGTTCAAACTCAAATAGAACATACATATCATGCCCCTCCTTGAGAGGCTCAGAGATCATAACAAAAGAGGAGACAGAAAGGTTCAGAGGTGATAGAGGACTTCAAGGAAACTGCTTTCTGAATGCAGCAGGAGAGTTGCATATAGGAACTCACAACAATTGTGACACATGCACAAGAACTGCACAAGCTTAAGCCAGAGAAAACCCCAAGAGGGAGGGAAGAAGGTGAGCATAAAATCCCACCACAAACTGAGGAGCTATTAACATTTGATAGCTGTTGGGAGGAGAGTCGATTTTCGTTAATGGTGTGATCCCTGGGAAGCTGAAAACACTCCAAGCAGACCCCACCCTCAAAAGTAGGTGGGCAACACAAATTGCACTCAGTGGGTTGAAGTAGAAGTGGGTAGAGAAGAATAAAAAGGTAGACAAAGAGGAAGAAGACTGGAAGTTGGATGGGTAAAGAGATGGGGGTGGAGGAGTGGATCTGGGAAGAGTTGTAGGGAGGTAAATATAACCAAAACACATTGCATAAAATTCTCAAAGAGTTCATAAAAATATTGTTTGAAGACATTCATTTACTCATTTGGTAGATTTATTTATTGCTATGATAGCTTTTAGTAGTTTGCAGTCACTATAGCCACCTCTACACCCCTTCCCCTTTCCTCATTTCTGCTTTAGAGTTCGAATATTTTGAGTGCCAACCTTTGAGATTCTTTATCTGGGAGTAATTATATGACTCAAGTTTATTCAATGAGATATATAAGTATAAGTCTCCTGGAGAGCTAGTCAAAACATATCTGTTGCCTGATGACAAAAATGATACATATTACTAGCATACTAATACCACTTTTTCCTCCTCTTCCTGCTTAGATCATAAATATGATGTCTAGCATCCATCTTATCCTTGAGGCAAAACACCAAAGACAAAAGAAGAATACACCAAAGCTGTCAGCTTAGACAGAGGAGTCTTGCAATGCCTTTCCACCTCTATTATATTTGACACTTAGGATTCTTGTAAAGTGTCAGTAAATGTCCTATTGCTACAAGCTCTCTTAGCTAAGTTCTCTGTATCCCAGAAACAAAACATCAACTCTAACTTACGTGTGTGGATGCTGTGTTTCTAAGAATGTGACAAACATTCTTGTGAAGTTCATATCCTCAGAGAAAGACATTCCACGACCAAAAGTAAAGATTTTCCAGAGCTATAAAAAAAAGAATAAAGCAGAGCAGAGAACTGCAGAGTGAAAGCCAAATCTAGAAAAAGCTTCTCCATGTCATTCTACAGGAACAGCAACCACGTCATCTACCACTCAAGAGAGACACCCTTTTCAAGGAAAAATTCTCTATGAAATGATCTTTGGCCCAAATAAATGTGAGATAAAATCATCCTTTGGAGGAAAAAAAACCTGCAAGTTAAGTAAATACAATGCACAAGAGCTAGGAGAAAGGAAAATGTCATATGTACTCAAAAGTGCTCAGATGATCAATATGGCCAAAGCCCAGTGAATTGAGAGCAGTACATTGCCAGGAAAGTAAACAACTCAGTTAACATCCCTGTGTTTGATTTTATAACTTTTTATTTAGTCAGCACCATTTGACTTCTTGAAAGCTATATGCTTGACTTTGGGCAATTTGCTGCCTTTCACTAAAACATTTTAGGACATTATTCTGTCTCGAATATAATTTATCCATGACAAGCTTGAACTGATTTCAAACAAATACGCACTCTCTTGTATCCTAAAGACAAGGACGGCACGAAGAGCAATGGGGTCTCTGCAAAGATTGACTGTAGAGAGAGAAGGGATAAACTACAGTGTTTTCTGGGTTTAGGCTGTTCAATTTAGCTCTCTGAACAGAGGTTTGGCATATTTTTCACACTTTTTCCTAAAATATTCTCAACATGAACCTACAGCATTTTCTCTTTTAACTGAGTTAGCACCAAAGAATGGGGAAAAATTAAACAATTTCCTCACAACATGTTCAGAAATTTTGACACCCACATTTAATGATGAACTATGGAATTCCTTCAAGTCACCATCTGTTAGCAGGCAGCTTTAGGAGCAGTGGTGCAAAAATGTTGGATACTTCCCTCCATAAAGAAACAGCTGGTGGGTGAGACAGGAGAATGATAGATGCTAATATAACCAGTTAATCTTGTTTCCATACCCTTTTGTATAAGCATCAGGGCAATTAAGCTAAGGATGACTGCTTTTCACCTTGCATCTAAGAGGGAATGTGTGATAGATTTGCAGAGTTCTAAAAATAAAATCAGAAGACAATAATATAAAAGTGGAAAGACTGGATTCATTTTCAATGTTTTATTTAATTATAATATCAGTGTGTAGATGAAAATAATCATGAGTCTAAAGATTGGATCAGAATATAAACATAGACACATATACTGCAGCTCTTTAGCTTAAGGTTTTTGTGGAACTCCTAACAGTGGCAGTGGTATAGGCACCTCCTAGCAGAGATGTCTCTAACACTTTTGCCTGCTCTTGAGACCCTTTTCTTCCTACTGGGTTGCCTCATCCAGCCTTTGATATGAAAGTCTGTGCATAGTCCTATTGCATCTTATTATGCCATCTTTGGTTGATAGACCTGGGAGGCCTGCTCTTTTCTGAAAGGAAACAGAGGAGGAGCAGATCTAAGGGAGAGGAGATGTTGGGGGGACTGAGACGAGTGGAGAGGGGGAGGCTTGTTGGGGTCTATTGTATGAGAGAAGAATAAATAAAATAAAAATAAAAAATTGCAGTTAAAATATTAAAGAGGTAGGAAAATATATCATTTTTGCAGCCCAAATAAATTTATCTATCTAGATTATTATCAATAAATAAAATATAGGTAACTGATGTTCAACTTTTCAGGGGGAAACATCAGACTGTAATCACCACAAACTACTGATAAAGCTTGGCATCAAAACAAATGGGACACCCTGGCATTGTACCTCCCAATGTAATGAGGTAAAATGCCCACAGGACTGCTTATGAAATATTCTGACCCTAAAACTTGAAGGTGCATCTATTCAAACTTCTAGAACTTTTATTTACAAATAGGTGGTAAAAGGGAATAATTAAAACATCAACAGGCAGACATGCCCTGCTCAAGTACAACCCACATCAGTCAGAACAACTAAGAGCCCCACATGCACTTGAAACCTTCCCATGACCTTTGTTCAGATCCCGCAGACACCCCTTTCCATGAACCACCACCTGCCTCTGTTGCTGTGCCTCCACACCCACCTCAGATAGATATCTGCTGTCCAGGTGAAGGCCACGCCAGTCAGAACAGGTAAGAGCCCCACCTGCCATCTGAACCCACCCACTCCCTGAGTTAGGAGCCCAGTGACCCAAGCTGCTGACACCACCCTCACCACCATCACTGGCCCCACTGCCATGACCCTGCCCATACACAGGAGGACATCCCCTGCTCTGGTGGAGGCCAGGCCAGTCAGAAGAACAGAGATGCCCTGCTGAACCAAAGGCCACATTAACTACCAGAAGTCCAGGCCCCAGTGCTGACAGACTCTCTGCTAGTCCAAAGGTTATGCCAGCCTCCAGAAACACAGACCACAGAACACTAATGAGGAAACAGAAACAAAGGGAAGAAAACACCCATCCAACAAAAACAAACTCAGAAATCAGCTCCTACACCTATATTTACCCCAAACCCAGATGCCTAGATACCAATGTAAGAACAAAATCAACAACAGCCAAGGCAATATAGCACCACCATAGCCCAGCATCCTACTACAGCAACCCTGGAATATTCCAGCACAGCTGAAACACAAGAAAATGACCTAAAAAACCAACTTTATGAAGATGATAGAGGTCCTTAAAGAGGACATGAATAAACCCCTTAAAGAAAAGCAGAAAAACACAAACAAACAATGGGAGGAAATGAATAAATCCCTTAAAGAAACTCAAGAAAGAAAGAAAAAAACAGGTAAAGAAGATGAATAAAACTGTTCAAGACCTAAAAACAGAAATAGACGTGAGGGGGAAAAAACACAAACTGAAGGAATCCTGAAAATGGAAAACCTAGATAACTGAGCAGCAACTACAGACACAAACATCACCAATAGAATATAAGAGGTGGAAGAAAGAATCTCAGGAATACAAAAGAAGAAATTGATATATCAGTCAAAGAAACTATTAAATATAAAAAGTTCTCAACATAAAACATGCAGGAAATCTGGGACACTATGAAAAGACCAAACCTAAGAATGATAGGAATAGAAAGAGAAGAATACCAACACAAAGGCCCAGAAAATATTTTCAACAAAATCATAGAACAAAATTTTCCTAAACTAAAGAAGGAGATACCTATAAAAGTGCAAGAAGCTTACAAAACACCAAATAGATTGGACCAGAAAAGAAAGTCCCCTGCTACATTATAACGAAGACACTAAACATACAGAACAAAGAAAGAATATTAAAAGCTGCAAGGGGAAAAGGCCAGCAACATATAAAGGCACAGCTATTAGGATTACACCCTACCTTCAACAGAGACTCTAAAACCTAGAAAGGCCTGGACAGATAGATGTCTTACAAATTCTAGGAGACCACAGATGCAACCCCAGACTACTATACCCAGCAAAACTTTCAATCAGTATAAATGGAGAAAACAAGATATTCCATAACAAAGTCAAATTTAAGCAGTATCTCTCTACCAACCCAGCCCTACAGAAGAAACTAAAGGAAAACAATGAAAATGAGTGTACAACATACCCAAATTTATGGGATACCATGAAAGTGGTGCCAAGAGGAAAGTTTATAGCACTAAGCGCATTCATAAAGAAATTAGAAAGAATGCATACTAGCAACTTATCAGCACACCTGAAAGCTCTGGAACAAAAAGAAACAAACTCACACAAGAAGGGTAGATGGCAGAAAATAAACTGAGGGCTTAAATCAGTAAAATAGAAACAAACGGAACAATACAAAGAATAAATGAAACAAAGAATTTGTTCTTTGAGAAAATCAACAAGCTAAACAAACCCTTATCCAAACTAGCTAAAAGGCTGAGAGGATATCCAAATTAACATAATCTAAAATGAAAAGAGAGCCATAACAATAGACACTGAGGAAATCAAGAGAATAATTAGATCACACTTAAAAACCTGTACTCCACAAAATTGGAAAAATCTAAAAGAAATGGACAAATGTCTTGGTAGATACTACTTACCAAAGTTAAATCAAGATCGGATAAACAATTTAAATAGACCTATGACCCCTAAGGAAATAGAAGCAGTCATTAAAAATCTCCCAACCAAAAAAGCCCAGGGCCAGATGATTTCAGCACAGAATTTTACCAGACTTTAAAAGAAGTCCTAATACCAATGCTCATCAAATTATTCCACAAAATAGAAATGGAAGAAACACTACCAAATTCTTTCTATGAGGCTACAGTTCCCCTGATACCCAAACCACACAAAGACTCAACAAAGAAAGACAACAGACCAATTTCTCTCATGAATATTGATGCAAAAATATTCACAAACTGAATCCAAGAACACATCAAAAAGATCATCCACCATGATCAAGTACACTTCATTTCAGAGATACAGGGACGATTCAACATACAAAAATCTGACAATGTAATCCACCATATAAACAAACTAAAAAAATAAACCATATGATCATCTCATTTGATGCTGAAAAAGCCTTTGACAAAACCCAACATCCCTTCATGATAAAGGTCTTGGAGAGATCAAGGATACAAGGGACATACTTAAACGTAGTGAAGGTAACTTACAGCAAGCCAATAGCATCAAATTAAATGGAGAGAAACTCAAAGCAATTCCACTAAAATCAGGAACAAGACAAGGCTGTCCACTCTCTCCCTATCTATTCAGCATAGTGCTTGAAGTTCTAGCTAGAGCAATAAGACAACTAAAGGAGTCAGGAGATACAAACTGGAAAGGAAGAAGTCAAACTACCATTATTTGCCGATGATATGCTACTGTATGTAAGTGACCCAAAAAATTCTACCAGGGAACTCCTACAGCTGATAAACACCTTCAGCAAAGTGGTTAAGACAAACAGCAAACAAGCTGAGAAAGAAATCAGAGAATCAACACCCTTCACAATAGCCACAAACAATATAAAATATCTTGGGGTAACACTAACAAAGCAAGTGAAAGACCTGTATCACAAGAACTTCAAGTCTTTGAAGAAAGAAATTAAAGAAGATATTATAAAATAGAAAGATCTCTCGTGCTCATGGATCAGTAGCGGTAAAGTAAAAATGG